TAGTGATTTGATTTCTAATATGTTACATTCCAAATTACAACCTTTGCTTTAATCATTAATGAAGAGACTTCAAGATAACTGCTTTCTCTGACCATTAAAATTCATTTCAAATAATTCCAAAATTTTTTTTGATTACTAGATGATCCTATTATATATTGGCTATCATAACTTAAAAATCTAAGACACAATAATTACCTTTATAATATGCTTATTTTTTACCATCAGATTTCTTTTTCGATATACAGAACTATTTCTACTATTTTTGATTTTCATATCTAAGGAGGCATTAAAACTCTTAACTCCTCATTTTTTGAAAAAAAAAAATGGATTTTTACACTGAAAAGATGCAGAACTTTGTTTCTTGATCAGTTTGTCACTTAAGGTAAAATATTATGACCTTTCTCCCAAAGCTAACAATCCTAATAAAAGAGTTATTCCAGAATAGTTTATTACTTTACAAAAAATTGTTCTTTTGAATCCTATAAATTCAAACCATCTTAAACCTGAATATTGTTTTAACAATTTTACTTTATAAGGATACATTATTGCTTTCCCTTTTAATAATAAGAAAAAATCTTCCTATATAATTCTTTGGATATCACCAAAATAAAATTATTATAATTTACCCTATTCTGATCAAGATATTATTGAAAAAGCTATTAGAATTTATTTTATTTTTAACAAAGTTTCTATATAACACTATGTTAATAACTCTACTTTCAATCATGATTTTAGATCAGTATTTAAAAAACAGAATCTATTTACTTCATGTTTAGGATATTCTTTTAATTCACTGAAACTCATTTTAAATTTTAATATCTCAGCTACCACTTAACCTTATAGTAACGTTATTGATAATAATCTACCTCAAGTTATAGAAGTTATTCATTTCATCTTTATTAATAATAATAAACTGTACCTTTTTAAAAGAAATATTTGATCCATTATTGATCAAGCAAAACAATATTACTTGACAATACGTTTTCCTACTGTCTTATAAATAATCTCATTCTCAGTATTCTACCCTTTATTACTATTACCAATTTATTTCTAAATAATAGTGTCAATTCATCCTTAATGGATTTTTACTGATTACTTCAAAATGAAAGATCCCTTATATTTTATACAGATAATTCTCATAAATTTGTCCTTTCATCTTTTACATTATATTTAAGTTCTACCTTTTATTTAGTTCATGATTTTTTAATCATAGAATTTTCAATTGCTGTTCCTATTATCTAGACTAACTCCACCAATGTGAAAATTTTTGCTCTACTTTTAATTCTATTAATTAGTCTTTCATCTTCTTCAATCTTGATCCACATAATAGCTTAGCTTTTATTCATACCTATAATTATATAATTAGAACAAACACATTTTAATACTCTTTACTTATGTTCAAAATTCTCTTTTATATTTTCTGATCTATTATTTTTAAAATTATCAAAGAATGACAAATCAACATTTTACTCTTTAAAGTTACTGTTCACTTTAATGATTCATATAATGATAAGACTAATCAGTTAGCAAAATCTTCTCTTATTTTTTCTACTTTACAACTATTCTTAGATTATATCCCTTTTATTAATTACATATCTAAATTTAATGATATGCTTATACTTGCTTTTTTTGAAAGATTATATTATGGTGACTGTCACTTATAAACCTCACATAAATCATATGACTTTAAAAATTTATAAATTAAAAATAAAACAATGATTTAAAATTTAAACCAATAAAATTATAAAATAATACATGCTTAACATTATTATCAGTTTATTTTTTAAGATATTATATAATTTTTAGAGTTATTATAAATTAAAGTTTAAGAATTTTTATATGATACATATAGTAAAATGAAAAATTTTGAACTTAAGAATCAGCATAATGTTTATTCTGAAAATTTTGGTCTGCATTATGATAATTCAGCCCAAAATTTTTGGGAAATTATCCATTTGAAAAAATAGTTTTTGGAAAAATTAGGATATAATCAGATTAATGTTATATATACAAAATTTTCATATGAAATTCATCTAATTTTTTCACACTTTTGACCAGTTATAATAAAATGATACACCTATCAAAGAGAAAAATTATTGTTAAAGAGCAAGGATAAAATAATAATAAAACTTTTACAAAATAATTATGAGTTGATGATAAGAATGATTAAAGTGATAAAAATGACAGCAGTTGGGATGAAATTGATTTATCAAATAAAGATAAAAATAAAAGTAAGTTAGTATAGTCAAGTAATATATACCTAGAATAAAAGAAATATGGACCTTACCTTATTAGAATAACTAAAAAATTAACTTATTTTGATAAATATGAACTAAGTGATTCTTTTATAAAAGTCACAAAATAAACTTTAGATATTTTAACGCTTATAAATAAACAATTAAATCTGGATAATTTTGATGAAGTTTTAGATAATGTGAAAAGTAAATATAATGATCAGCTTAACCTAAAGTAAAGGATTGAAACTTTGAGAATTAAACTTAAAGAGAAACAAAAATCATTAAGTATATCTGAATTTAACAAAAAGCAAGCAATCTTTGAATATTTGAGAAGATTAAATAATAATGAAAAGGGTAAGGAAAAGGTTAGTATAAAAACTGTATAATTGGTTTTCATTGATAGTGTTTCATATTTTTAATATGCAATCCTGTTAAATTATGACTATTAGACAGGATGTTCGAGTGGTAATTCTTTTAAGTTTACATAGTGACTCAATACAGTTTAACTTAATCTTTTATAATTTACACAGTGGTGTACTTTTAACAATACTAGAAGTAAAATAGCTTAATTAATTTAAAGTTATAACAATATATTTATTAATGATAAATAAGAAATAAAAAAAGGAGATAAGAAAATAAAGAAACTAAAAGATTAAAAATACTAAATGTGAGAGTTAGATTAAATACCTCTAAAAGTACTACTAAAGGTATATCTAAAAATAAACTAAAAGGAAAACTAAAAATAAACTAAAAGTAAACTGAAGTTTACATGATTTTATCATTTTCTATTTATATTAAATTTAATACATAGATACAGTTCTCGGTGAAAAGAATGGTGAAGACAGTTTTCGACGGTATGTATAAACTTTATTTTTAATGTTTATTTTTATTTTTTATTTAAAAGAATAATACTAACAGAATATTTTTTAATACTTAATTAATATTTTGTGTGCCCTCCTTCTGCATCGATACATGCTTGAATCCAGTTCGGTATGCTATTAATGCACTGAAATAACACACCATCATCAAGATCATCCCATTCCTGTTGGATTGTATTAAGGAAAATATCACAGGTAATTGTTTTTTTGCCACCATATTCTTAATCCTTTTCTCCACCTTTTCCTTTAATACAGCCTATACATTTTCGATAGGATTCAAGTCTGGGCTGTACGAAGGCTAAGAAAGAACTCTTACTAGAAGATGTTTTTTCAAGTCACTTTGAATGTCTCATGAGGCGTATTTTAGATTATTGTCTTGTTGGAAAACCCAGTTGCGACCAAGTAATGCTGTCGTATTGTCGTATAAATGATTGTCTAGGATGTTTTGGTACAAATGACAGTCCAAATTTTCAGTAAACAAATGAATGCCAACTTTCCTTTGACACTAATTGCTGCTCAAACATGAACCTTGAATGGATGCTTTACCATAAGAGCAACTGGTTGAGTATCATGAGACCATACACGAATAGTATTTCTAAACATCTGGAGTGTTGTTTCATCAGAAAAAACAACTTTTTTCCAGTTGTAATGCGAATGATCACGTGCCTAAGATAATCTAATATCCTTTACTTTTTGGGTCAAGAGAGGAACTTTTCTTGACATAACAGAAATATATCCAAGGTTTTTAAGTTCGCAACATACTGTACGTTCGCTAACCTCAAATTCAGGATCTTTTTCTTCTAATTTTTCCTTAAGTTTACCTGCAGTAGTGAAATGGTTATATTTTAAAATTTTTCCGATATAGCGGCGTTGGTTCGTGAACAATTTTCTTAGGCGGCCAAAAGAATAACTGATAGTAATATTAGTAGTTTTACGTAGTAAACTGACATATCATTCACATGTACGCAAAGGAATACATAATCGTTCATGAATTTTCTTTGCACTTTGCACGTTTTGTTCCCAGAGTCTCTTAATGGAGTTTCTTTGAATTTCAAGAGAGCTTAGCATTTTTTCAGTTAAGAAATCACAACAAAAACAAAAATAAACATAATTTTTTTTAACTTACCTTTTATATTATGATTCTAGCGCCTAATTTAGTCATATAAACAACAACTCATATCAGAAACGCAGTTTACATTTTGGCCTAAAATAGATGTGGTATTTAAACCGCCATTCTTTTCGCCAGGGACTATACATACTGGGAAGAATAAGGGGAATGATAAAAGAAAAAATGTTGAAATTTTTGAGAGGTGAGGTAAAATTTATAAGGGAAAGATAAAGGAAAAATTGTTGAAAGTTTTTAAGAGGTGATGTGGAGAAAGTTAAAATTTTTAAGAGGTGAGGTAGAGAGTATTTATAATAAAATCAAAGACGTGTAATGCAGAATGTTTTTATTTACATCACTGATCTATTGAAAGTCACGTTTCTTTAATATTCCATTTTTTAATAACCTGGTTTAAAATATCTTTAATACTTTCTCCAGTATGTGGATCTTTAACATGACAAATAGTTAACATAGCTTCTTTTAATTAAAAATTATTGGTAATCTGATGATATATAATACCTAAGAATCTATATCAGTTTTTTACAGTTCATAAATCCAATGTAAGTGAACACTACATCATATTTTCAATCAATAATAACTTGAGATTTTTAATAGCAAGATTATATGAATCAGTAACCAAAGTTTTTAAACACTTATCATATGGAATTATAAAAGAAGAATTTAATAATTCAATTAATCTTCAGAATTTTTTGCTTTCAATATATAAAATGGCTGTATATCTTCAACAATAAATTATTTTAATACTTGTTCAATTGCTTTTTATGTATTTATATCTAGAGGTGATAATTGTGACTCATTTTCTATGAAAATTTCATTATAAAATTGTGTAGATTTAGTTTTATTGTGTGCAGCTGTAAGATGTGTATTAGCATTTGAAGTTGATGATCTTTTTCTCTGACAAATATGATTGCAATCAATCTCATCAATATTAACTTTATAAATAAAAATAGTGTAGTTTTCATCTTTTGTATGCTTACTCTACTGCTATTTTCAGCTGCTAAGATTATTAAATCTTAAAACTGTTAAAATAGTTTTTTAGGATTTCTATTAGAAGTAGAAGTTTTATTTTTATCTCTAAATATTTTTTCTCTCTTCTATTATCTTCAAATATCTCATCTATATTATCTTGATAATTTTTCTCAGTTAATGCTCTTTTATTAGTTTTATGATTTCTCTTTTTAGTCATTTTTTATTTTTTTGAAAATAACAGAAGAATTAAAAAAAAACAATGAAAATAAAAGTTAAATTAAACTTTTGATTATTTATAGTTTATCTATCCAAATATCTGCAAATATCAATACAATTTTAAGTATTGATTTGAATTTAAAATTATATATTTGATAATTATTATATTTATCAGATAATCTTTTGAATTATCTGATGATTCTGAAATCTAATTTTAATAATTTACTGTTATCTTAATTTAATGTCAAAAGTATTATTTTTACAAATTTAATATTATCTGATATTATTTTTATAGATATATAAAACTTTTTTTTTTATTTCAATAATATTTTTCTTAAAAAAAAAGAAAAAAATTTTTTAAAAAATTTGGAATCCAAAAAAATGTTTTTGAATATTTTATATCAAATAATAAAGACTAATTTTTTTTTAATTATTTGTCTTTTAGAAATGTTTCTTAATATTTCTTTATTATTTAGGCTGAATTTAAATGTACTAATCAGGATCTTAAAACCTTATTAGAGATAGATTCTAATAGAGAAATCCATTTTTTTATTTAAAAAATACTAATATTATCATTATTTCTTATCTTTGTAAAACTGTCTGAGACTTTGAATATTGATTAGAAATAGAATTTTTATTATGACTTTTTTTTATTTAAAAAATACTTTACTTAACTTTATAGAATAATAGATAAAAAGAACTATAAGCATTATGATAAATTGAAATGACATAAATTAGATCTTTTCAAAATCTGTTAATGATATTATTCAAGAAAAAAAATAATTTGCTAATATTACGCTTGATACAGATTGTCCAGATTTTCAATTTGATGTATTTATTTTGTATATATATATAAATATTTACAGAAAATATTTTATGGGTTCAATTTATTATATTTTATTTTATTTTTAATTCTTTTTTTTATAACTAAAAAGACATTACCTTATGGATAGCCTGTATTTATCTTTAAAGTAATATAGAATTATAGAATTTTGACTTATTCAAATCAAATTTGTTTTCTAATAATAATTAATTTTTATTTCCTTAATTCAATAATAATGACGTGTTTAATTAAGTTTGAATAGTTAATGATTAGATTTTCCATTTAGTATATCACTCAAAATTTTTTTAGTAGAATTTACATAATGCTAACAAGTCTTAAATTTATTTTATTAGTGAGTAAATATTTAAATTTTGATTATCTAACTTAAAAGTATTACAAATTTAAGCATGTCAATTCATTGATCTTAACAATTTTTATATATTTTCCTTTTAGATAAAAATTAATCTAATAATTATAATAAAGGATTCAAAAGTTTGTTTTAATAATTTTTGCATATTTAGAAGATAATTAATTATGAATATAGTAAATCATATAATTGTAATGTGATATTATTAGAAAATCTCTCATTTATAAATAATAAATAGATTATAAAGGATTATTTACAAGTAAGCTAATAAGTATTTCTTTTTTTATTATCTTATTTCTTCTTATTTTCCTTTTAGTTCCCTTTAAACAATATAATAATTTTTTGAATTGTATTATTAAATTGGTTAAAAATATGTAGTTCCTATCAAATAAAAATAATTCAAATTTAGATTATTTATATACTATATTATAATTTAAATGTCAAATAAAAATTATATCAAGTTTATTACTAAAGTTAAATATGTACTTCCTAATTTATTTCATAAAATAATTCTATGCTCTTCTTTCTCAAGTGTTTTACAATGTTTTACTTTAGCAACTATTATATATTATTATATTGATTTATTATTAAACTTGGTTATAAAATTTTATAACAATTATTACTATTTTTAAAATTCCTTAAATATTTTTTATGAAAACTTTTCATAATATAACTAAGTAGAAGAGTTTTGGAATTTTTATGCCCTTTTTTTTAAGAAAAAAATTTGGTATTGTAATTAATATTTATAATATGGAAACTTTGCAGTAAAAAAAGTAAAAAGAAAGGAAGTTATCAAAAAAAAAATTTTATTTTATAATCTAAGCCTATATATGTGTAAATTATGTGTTTATACGTAAACCTAGTTAGTCAAAAATGTCATATTTATATCATATGACATATTATAAATATAATTTAAAATATTATATTACTATAAACTTTTATATTATTAAATAGAAAAATAAATTAATAATATTACAGCAAATTATCTATGCACTTCATAATATTCATTACCAAGGAATTTTCATCAAAATTTTATAGTAAAAATAATCTTTATAATAATGAATATAATGCAATAATTAGTGATTTAAGAATTAGTCAGTTAATGAAAATAACTATTTCTTATGTTGTTTCAAAAGTATTATAAGAGAAAACAAGTAATAATATAAAAAGTTTCAGATGTTTTATAGCTTTGGAATAATTATATGAGGATTAATGATCAATCTTATGATATAAAACTTATTATTAGAATTTGTGATAGCTTTTGTCCTTCTATTATCACAAATGTACCTGAAGATTATATTAAATTAATGCAAAAATATTGGCATTTTAATTCCAAAAAAGACTAATAATTAAGGCTATTCTTAACTTTATTGGTAAAATTATTTTAAATTAAAAAATCAACAAATAAAAATTAGCGATTCTTCAGATATTAGACTAACGAATAAAATTTTAATAATATCTGTAAAATTTACAAGAAATTCAAAAGTATATTTGGTAAATAGATTTTATTTTAATATTAATAATTACCTTTTATATTTAATTTTTATATGATTATTTAATCTCATTTATTTATTAAAGGTAAAATAAAATTTGAAAATAATAATAATAAGTTTATTTTTAGATTAAATAATAATCAATAAATATACTTAATATTTTTCTCTATTATTCTAGATGATAAAAATATTAAAAAATCCAAATTCAATACGAATAATAATAATTATATTAAGTAATAAGATTTATAATGAAAATAATATTTTATTATAATAGATACCACTGGTTAAAATCAAAAAAATCAGACATGCGAAAAATCAGCCTAAATTTGGCCTAAATTTGGCAAATTATCAAAAAATCAGTCTAGCCAATTGGCATACACTAGAAATCAGCCAAGAATCAGCTAAAATTTGACCTATTTTATTTATAGCTAATTGGCATACTTATTGCTGATTGGCATACGTCAAAAATCAGCTAAAATTCAATCCATCTTATCTATAACTGATTGATATCTGATTTACATCTGATTGATATACATCAAAAATAGATTTAAAATAAAATAAAATTCGTAAGAAAATATAACTGATATTTAGGATTAACAGTCAATAATGCTAAAAACATCCAATTTATTTTTACAAATAGTATTTTCTATTAATTAGATTAACAGCCAAATATTCTTTTGCATTTTGTTAGGCTGAAATTCGATAGTTAATCAGTACAAATTGACCCAAAATATGATAAACTGGTATTATACAATCACGACTTTCTGGATAAAATTCAATATCCCATAATTCGACATTACAAGTTTTTTCTTCGCTAAAATAATATTGCATATTTGGAGAACTTACAGGTTTATACCAATGAACAAATACTAGAAAATGTTCAGCCTTTTCAGATTGCAAATCGACCTTATGTGTAAAATAATATTGGACTTGGCCAAGATAACAATCGACTGTACTATTATTTGTAATAAATTTTGCTAAAATGTACGAATTTTTTACATATTGCAAAGACATTAACGATCTGAAGATTTGAGAACCAATTCGATACCTTTTGAATTGATTTATTTTGATCTGAATCATTATACCATCTTCTGAATCCTTATCAAATGATTTCCTAAAATCAAACGTTATATAAGTAGCATTGTAGTATTCAACCATCAAATCAAGCATTTCACTTGAAATAATTATACTATCAGATAATGGTTTAAGGAATTTGCCAGGAAATAGTCTACTACCAGTAACATTTGATTCCTTAATATTTCGTGAATTCATCAAAAATCGATGGATTTCGTCAGAAAAAAATTTGTCTATATCCGAAAAGGAACTAATTGAAGGCTAATTGTCTAGCAATTCAAGCCCTTTTACTTCAATACCACTAGAATTTGTAATACTGTCGATTTGAATATCAAACATCAATTGATGCATTAGCTTAGGTTTAATTTTCTATTACTATTTGGTAAAGAACCTAAAAATTGTTCATAAATTAGTAAGCCAATTTATTCAAGAAATTCTCAAAAAAAATACCTAATATTCCATTCATGCGTTCAAAAG